TAGATATATATAATATATATTATATAAAATGCTCTAATATGCTAATTAAAAAAGAGATAAATACGAAATGTAACATGGGAAGATAGGATGTGTAGTTTAATATAATAAATGCATTTGAAATTACCATCTTGATTTGTCTCTGTGGTATATGATGAAAAATGAATCAATGCATTGTTGATGAAATAAATCAAGGTGATTATTTCAATTGCCCCTTATGCTGTATATTAGATACCAATTTTACACAGAGTAGAATCAAGAATACTATAATTTAAAAAATCATCCTAAAAAGATTATTGGCATGCAACTCTACTATATTTCTCTGATGCACGTTTATTTTTTTCCGATATATATAATGGCTTCTTAACGCTACTGATTATCAGTTCAAAAACTGATTAATGTGTACAAAATATACAATAAAAGATGATATATATTATACACATATATACGAGTAAGAAACTTCATTGTGCATCAGGATGCTCAGAATTTCTATTTATATATATAAATTTTTTTTAAATATCTCTCGTCAGATACTTAATCTACTTTGTAAAATCATGGCATCTATTTAGAAATATTATGATACATAGTGGATATTTTGCGATAACATTAGTAATTATATTAAAATATTTGTCTGTATGTATTATTTTTTTTTAGCATAATTTATATATATATTTTTCATACGTTAAAAGAAAAGGGAAATTAAAAAAGAAAGAAAAAAAAAAGAAAAAAATGTCTGCCAAATGTAACTTTTGTAATGTTAGACTATCGTAAAGGATTGGTATCAGCCAACAAGCGCACTAGCGTTGTATACCTTTCTATTTTTAAACTGGAAATCCGATTCAGATGTTTATTGAGCGTATTTGCAGCAATCGGTTGACAAGGTGTAATGCAGGATGACGAGCCACCAATTATTTCAACTATCATTTCTATGAAAGTTGACCATTCAGAAGGCAGGGAATCGTTTGTAGCGCATAATTGTTCTGCTTGCTCGAGCATTGCTGCTATTGCAGATATACCAAACTGAAAAGACCAATAGTAAAATAATAGAATAATAATAGAATTTTTCTAGAAATCTGTGCGCATATATGTGATATATATATTTATACGTGTGCGCAAATATGCATCGAGTTTATTAAGAAAGATTCATCATCATTATACATATACAATTCATTATCATTATACATATACAATAATTATTCTTGACTAACCTTATTCATAAGAGCAAAACTTAAACTGTTGTTTTTGACGGGATGGGTAGCCGAGTCCGATAACGCTCTTGCTAATCGCAATACTGTATCAAAATCTTTCACAGTATTAAGCCATCTCCAAAATTCAGAGTAGAAGTCCGTTAATAAGTGACAATCTCTACGGCCTATCACGGCTAATCCTTTAAATATCGCAGTCCACAATTCTTTTAACTGCTTATTATATTCTGTCACATTCAGATGAGGTAAAAAACGCAGTAATAATGTCTATAACATACATATGATATATAGATGTTTGTATGAGCTATAAATGACAATGATTATTAAGATCCCAATTTCATTTTCTGCTTATCAATTTACCTTTCCTTTTCGAATACTTAGCATACTAGCTAATTTATCATCTTGTATTAATTGTTGCAAACATGACAGTGTCATGCTAATTAATTCTGGTTTGGTTTTAATCGTATTTGTCTCAGCTTCTCCTTCCTGCTGCTGTTGCGGCTCCGGAATTGAAGCAAGAGGATTGCTCAGATCCTCGAGTTTGAATAGCAGTGTGTATAGCTAAAGAATAATATTTCTTTATTAAAGAATATTTTAACAAAATATTTTTATTTTAGTCACAGTTTTATACCCTTTCGATTTCAAGGAGTAATTGGCGTGTTTTTTTAGTGTCCTTTTGTTGTGATTGAGAATTAGACTGAGAATCGCTATTTGACACGACATCCATATCGATAAGTTTGCGCGGTGCCGTAACACTACTGCAATGAAGTTTGCCTAATGAATTCTCAAACTGAGCTGGCGTGTACGCTGATCTTGTTGAAGGAGCTTGGGATGTTGGTTCCCAATCTCTAAAGAAACAAAAGAAGTTTAACAGTTGTAAATGAACATAATTATAATGAAGGATAAACAATGTTTAAATAAAAATTGACGCGCATAGATTCTTTAGATCAAAATACATTTTGCAGTTATACTATCACAAAAATATGTAAATAATTATCAACATATATATAAACATATGGGAAATTTCTAATAAGAAATATAAGCTTTACTATATTTATTTTATATCACGTAATATAATTAAATGAAGTGGGAAAAAAAACATACCTATGATCTCTGTGATATCCATTGTTATTATGGTGTTTTTTATCTTTCTGTTCTTGATTCGCATGTCGCTTATTCCGTTTATCACAGAATACAATATAATAGTGGTCATCAACATATGGTTGAATTGTATTAAGTTGTAACAGTTGTATATTGATTAACCATTGTTTCTCGTGAGCTTTTATAGCAAGCTTTCCTGAGAGTTCATACTCTCCCGAAGCATTACCGTTAACACCATGAGAATAATGTTGATGATAGTATCTCTGATTAGTTCTGTCATGACTGCGTTGAGGATATTGATTATTCTTAAAAAATGGTTGATGTCCGGGTTGTTGATCATTATGATAGTAAGATCTGTTTTGGTTTCTCTGATTTCCTAAGTAAGAATGTTGGTGTTGTTGATGATGATTGGCTTGGTTATTAGGAAATGCAGACATCATGTGATCTGGCCGAAGAAACTGTGGACCTCCTAAGTTAGGATGTGGTGGTTGCTATAATATAATTATTTATAAAATATAATTATAAATATTTTAATGTGAAAAGAATTTAATTGCGATAATGTATTTATTGAAGAAGAGAAACTTACAGGAAAACTATAGGAGCCATGAAGGGGTTGCCTCGGTACTGGCTGTGATAACATTAAATGCGGTGGTAGAGGATATCGTAACATATTGCCTGTTTGATCTAATGAATGAAAGCATTATTATTAAAAAATATCCCACATCAATAGTTTTCAAAAATTTGTATATTTGATAATTATTTATCATTCTTTACATAATATATACTAACACATTATATATATATATATATATATATATATATAT